ACTGAATGTCAGCTCCACCCCAGGTCACGTGGGACAGGCTCAGCCCCATGCCTAAAGCATGTCAGTTAGTGCAGTGAATGAGTGACAGACACACAGATTCTGTGTGCTTTGTAACATCCACCTTGAACAGAAACCCCTATCGTCTAGGTCAGGGCTGGGCCAGACGGTGTCTGGGTGTCCCTGATCTCTAGGATCTCTGGCTCTCTGAGGTCTGTGGCATGGGTTGGGCCCTCTCTGCAAAGAGGGGCTCTGTCTCCTGTGATGGGGCTGGAGCTTCCCAAAGGTTGGGACCAGAGGGACACTCTGCATAGAGAGACAGCCTCCCAAAGCCAGAAGCCTTGTCTCACCAAACAAGAGCCCATCATATCCATGCAATAGCACTCGTCTGCAGACACACCTCCCCCAACACCATTTGTCTTCAGGCGCATGCACACACACACACACATACACACGTCTTCAAACACTCACAGCCTACGTGTGATCTCAACCCAAAATTCAACCCCTAACCTCGGACATACACACAAAAGGACTCGCTCCACAGCCACACAGCTGCACACACCATCCCCATCCACGTGCGCATCCCCATACACCCACCCCCACACACCCCCCCCACATGTTCACACACACTGCTGCACCCGCTTACCCACACGTGCGGCACGCACACCCATCCTCTTTTAGTCTCTAGTTATCATGTTAGGTTAAAAAGGAAAAGCGCGCTTCCTGTGTCATTACAGTAGAAATGCAAAAGAAAAGTGACATTTTATTTTCAGATAGGCTTTTAGTTGCCATGACAGTCCCGGCACCACGGAAGCCGTGATTGGTGGCAAACGCAGATTTAGCTTAGCTCCCCGTATACAAGAACTTCCAACTCTGTTCAGTGCCCTCCTTGTCAGGCCCTCCAGGCAGAGTGGATGCCAGGGCAGGGGCAGCACCCCCAGTGCTAGTCCGGCTGCCAAGACGGCAGGTGATGGGACTGGCCGGGAGCGCTCAGCAAGGATGTCCAAGCTGACGGTCACAGTGGCTTTAGAACCCAATCCACTAATTCCTTGGCACTTGCTCACAGCTGAGCGGGAGCATGGCACTGGAGGTGGCGGCTCCCCACGAGGAACAACTGCTCCTGCTGTTCACTGCGGCACTCAGGACAGGCCGGAAAGACACAAAGCCAGGGGGCTGGCCCTCAGCCAAAACGGGAGTTGGCTTCTCCAGCCAGAAGCCATCTCACCAGAATGCTCTCTCCAGGTCACGGCTGGCCTGACACACACCGGGGGAGGCCAAGCTGCCCTCCACAAGCTGGGGCTGACCGCCTGTGGCCAACTAATGACCACCCAGCGTTGGCATCTGGATAGGAGATGGACCTCTCCCCCTTTCACTAGGAGCTTCTCAAAGGCGGAGCCATGGTACGTGCACCTTCCAAGTCTCCAGTGGCCTTATACACCTTGGGACCCAGTAAATGCCTAAAGAAATTACTCTTTGACCCCAAATTAGCTGGTATCTCATTTTCCAATGAGATGCCTAAGGGCAATGAATTTCCAGGATTTCTCCTCCGAGTCCATCTGCCAGTTTGTCTTCATTGTCATCATCTGAAAGATGGGCCAGGAGCTGGTTTTTGAGCCCAAGTCTTGAAGTTAGAGCTTTGGGCTAATTCCTGGACCCACATGAAGGTCTTCTTCAGCTTTTCACTTTAGCAAATGACCCACCCACTTCCTTCAGCACCTAAAATGTTCTCTGAGCACTGGTCGCCCACTGTGAGGCACTCGGGGCTACCCAAAATGTGATGCTGCCTTGGTTCTGCCCTCAAGTACTCCACTGACCCCATCACTTTTACCATCCCATAATATGCAGAGATTGGGGTAGTGATGTGCCTAAGAACATGGCTAATTGAATTAGACTGTGCCATTCAAATCCTGGTTCTCCTTACAAGCTGTGTGGTCTTAGGTGCGTTACTTAACCTCTCTGTTCTTCAGTTCCCTCACCGGCAAAATGGGCTTGACAATAATAGCACGTGCTTTGGAGGGCCAGCGTAAAGTGTTTGGCAGAAGTACATCCACCACACACACAGCCCCACAGAGCTCAGAACCAAGCTGGGGACACAGACACAAACACACAAACCAGAGAAGGAGGCTGCTGCTGCTCCTTCAGTTTGAAGAGTCAGTTTGTCCCTGAGGGTATTTGAGAGGGGAGGTTTTGACTGTCCTCTTCAGTGCCACCAAGTATGTTCTCAAATGGATTCCCGTGCCTGCCTCTGAGAGAGGGGGACATATGGATACAGTCTGGGCGACCTGGTCAACCTCATTGTTCCAGCATCTGCAGCTCTGAACGTCTAGTTGGATGCATGGGTCACAGGCAAACTCAGTCCTTCACAGATTTTGGCCCTTTTTGGAGTGTCTAAAATTACAATCACTGTGGGAGCAGGAGATGGATGAAAATCTAATGTTTATGAACAGAGCGTATGAGCCTGCATTGTTTATTGGCATGAATAATTCATAAATATGGGGTAGATGATTCTATTTCGTTTCTGGGAAACCCAAGAAACACTGCTTCCCAGACTGATACTCCAAGACCTAGTTCAAACGTCCACCAAGAAACATCCCCTCCATTCTGATCACACTGGGCTTCGGGGTAGAGTCTTTTGTGTCTTGTGTCCCCTGCTACAGTTTAGGGCTGTTGATGGTCACGTTACAATCATAATTGTATCCCCTGTGATGCTTGACAAGGGTTTTGCACGTGGGTCTTTTCTCTCAAAACCTTCCACACATGTGTCATCAGATTTTATCCACAAGTAAAATTTATTTCTGTTACAGCTGAATATAATTCTGTTTTCTGGGCTTTTTTTGTTCATCACACTTAAAAACCTTGTTATTGGGGTTTTTAAAAGCCTATTTCCAGTATACAATACATTATTATTAACCCTAGTCATTATGCTGTGCATTAGGTCTCTAGAACTTACTCATCTTGTAACTGAAAGTTTATATCCTCTGGCCAACATCTCCCCTTTGCCCCCACCCCTCAGCGCCTGGTAACTACCATTCTACTCTGTTACCATGAGTTCAATTTTTTTTTTTTTTAGATTCCACATATAAATGAGATCATGCAGTATCTGTTATTCTGGACCTGTCTTATTTCACTCAGCGTAGTGTCTTCCAGATTCATCCATGTTGTTGCAAATGA